TTTTTTTGTACTGGGAGTCGAACTCGGGTCCTTGCACTTTCGAGGCAGGTGGCAAAACTGCTGAGCTAAATCCCCAGCAACTTTTTTTAAAACTATATGTTTTAGTTATTTTCTCTTTAGTTCCTTCTGGGTATTAAGATTATCATCTTAATATTTAGCAATCTAGTTTTTATTCATTGCCTTAATTTCAGTAAGACAAAACTCAGATCTTAGGGCATCAGATGTCCCCACTCTGGGATGTCACTGTTCCACATGGCAGATACCACCTTCATGCACTGTGTGCCCAAAGCACGGATCATCAGAGCCTCCAGCGGCTTTTATTATTTATTTTTGAGAAGAGGTCTTGCCCTGTAGTTTAGGCTAGCCTTGAATTCCCAAGGTCCTCCTGCCTCAGCCTCCCGACTGCTGGGCTTACAGGTGTGGGCCACCATGCCGGAGTGCAGCTGTTTTTTCATGGGGCGGAGTTACAAAGGGAGTATGCCATGCTGGCGTTCACGTTAGCTTGTCCCGCGGCCTTTCCTTGAGGCCCCGGCTCCTTGGGGTGCACCTGGGCCAGGGCTGTGTGCGCCTGGCGCTGTCTCAAGTGCTGTCTTTGGCATTTCCTGCGGCAGGTCTGCCCACAAGCAGTTTTGTCTTGTTTGAAAATGTTTTGACTCCATCAGTTTTACAGCATAGCCAGGAAGGGTACAGAATTCTTGGCCAATAGTCTTTTTTTTTCCCCAAGCACTTTGAAAATCTGAAAAAAAATTTTTTTTGGTACCAGCAGTTGAATTTAGGACCTTGAATGTGCCGGGCAGGCACAGTGCCACTGAGCTATTTCTGCAGCCCTGAAAATCTGAAAGTATTAACAATTCTCTCTCTTTTTCTCTTCCCCTTTCTTTCTATAGGACTTTGATCATCCACGTGTTGGTCTTTTGGGGGACATTTTACCCTTTCCGACCTTTGTTTCTCTGTTTGCTTCTCTTTCTCGGCCCGGCCAACCCAACCCTCACTCTTATCACTCAGCTGTCTTCTCGGTTCTGCCCCTCAGGGCACTGGCATTTCAGACACTGACCTTCAGGACCCCGGAATCCCTGTTCTCTCTCTGTCCTCTTCTTTTCTCTGTAAGCTGTGGTCCAGGGGCTTTAACCCAGGCCCTTCATACTTCATACTGAGCTATATCCTTGGCCCTTTTTGTTTCGAGAAGGGTCTTGCTAAGTTGCCCAGGCAGGGCTTGAACTTGTGATCCTCCTGCCTCAGCCTCCCAGAGTGCTAGGTCGCAGGCCTGCACCAATGAGTCCAGCTTCTCTTTACTTCTCTCTGTCTGTATTTTTGGTACCAGGGATCATACTCAGGACCTTGAGTTTGCGAGGCAGGCACAGTGCCGCTGAGCTACAACCCGGGCCCTAATTCTGTTTTGAAATGTCTTTTTGTCCTTACTCACTGCTGTCATGCTGCTTTTCACCCTTTAGGTGTTGTACTTCTTTGCGAACTTTGAATTGCTGCTTTCTCTTTGTTCAGACCAGTGTCTGTTGCTTGCTTTTCCCTGTGTGTGAGCTGCGCTTTTCTCCTCCCTCCTCCCTTGAGAAGCACTCCCAGGTCAGTCAGAGGACAGAGCTCAGAGCCTCCCTCTGGGCTGGTCCTGGGCTGGTGCTGGGCAGATGCAGGGCCCTGCAGATGAACACTGTTAGGGGAATTTGGGAGCATTAATGCTGCCCCTGGACGGTGCCTGTCCATTTTGAAAAGCTTCTGGCCTTTGTTGCCCCCCCTCCTGGGAGGTGTCGAGCAGTTGCTGCTGACCCGATGTCAGGGAGGACAAGGTTGCAGGGCTGTCCTCAGCCCTGGAGGGGGCCCGGGAGCGGCTTTCCCAGCCGATCTCCCCTGTTGTCCACACTGGCTGCTGGCTACTGGCTCGAGCATCTGCTGGTTTTTAAGGCTCTTTGGACCGGGACTGACGGGGTTGAACACAGGATGGGTGGTCAAAAGCCCTCAGGCACACAATCCACACGGCCATTTTCCTTGGACCCAGGCGCCCAGTGAACTCCATGGTTCTGTCAAAGCTGACTCTGACTCCTTTTGCCAATGTCTTCATGGCTATTTTGTGGAAGACATTTTTGGAACTCCTTTCCCTGTGGTTCCAGAAGTGCTTCCTACAATGTGGTTTTAAAGGGACTTTTTAAGGTGGGATAGGTGGGCCCAGAGGCAGAATTTCCTGAAACTGGTGACCCAGGGGCACCGGGGAAAGGCTGCTTCTGTGTAAGTTGTGTTATTTCCGCGCGCTCCTTTAGCACGTGGCTGTGTCACCCGTGTCACCGTCTGACTACATGCAAGCGTGGCTGTGCTGGGGTCTCCGTGGGGCGCAGAGGGGAGCTGGCGGCTCTGAGCCTGTCCTGTCCCGCTCTGCTGTCCTAGGTGTACCGAGCCAGCGGGCTGGACGGAGCCCCGGGCCGTGGCCAGAGGATCCACCTGCAGCTATGGGACACAGCCGGCCAGGAGAGGTGAGAGGCCCGGGCTGGCGGGAGAGGTGTGCAGGGAGCGGTACCACAGGGTCTGCCTGGGCGGGTCGGGCTGCGTCCCTGCAGGCAGGGGAGGCCGGGCCTGTCCTACAGACTTCACGCTTCTCCCGCCGACGGCAGGACAGCCTCGAGCCCGTGCACGTCTACTCCCGAGCGTGGAAGTCCAGGGTCTGGGCGGTCGCGCACGGTCGGAGGCTCCCTTGACTGCAGTGAAGCGAGGGAAACCGCAGCGTGCGCTCGCCCTCCGTCTTCCTCCGCGCTGCGTGGAGCGCCCTGGTGTTCGCCTTTGTATTGTAGAAGCTTCGAGTCTCTGGAAGGGAGGCCGGTGCAGGGCCTCGTGTGTCCCTTAGCCTGGCCCACCCTGCCCCGCCCTCCACAGCACTGGAAGCAAATCCCAGACATTTTGTTATTTCGCCTGTAACTATTTGGGGGACTTTCTCTAAACAACAAGGGCTCTTTATTAAAATGTTGGTTAGAAATAGTTGAGAGACCCTGACATTGCTGATTAGCCGAGGCCTTTACACCACTAGCCTGCCCCTGGAGCAGGCCCGGCAGGCTTGCCTGAGGCAAGTGCTCCGCTGGGCCAGGCAGCCAGTCCTGGTCTCTGTCCAGCACCTCCCTGCTCAGGGCTGCAGGCCCCATCCAGCTGCTGACCCCACCCTGCGGGAGGCGCTGTGGGCCCCTCAGGGCTCCTCAGGCCGCTGCAGCTCGCCTTGACGTTGGCCGTCTGTCTGTGTCCCAGGTTCCGCAGCCTAACCACCGCGTTCTTCAGGGATGCAATGGGCTTTCTTCTGCTCTTCGACCTGACCAACGAGCAGAGCTTCCTGAACGTCCGAAATTGGATCAGTAAGTGCTCCTCTTCCTGTTGGGTGCCTTCTCCAGCTCCTCTTGTCCTGGAGGAGCGCCTGCCACAAATGCTGTTTCAAAGGACAAGGTTTTCGTCAGGAGTCTTGGGCACACCTGTAATCCCAGCAGTCTGGGAGGCTGAGGCAGGAGAATTGCAAGTTCCAGACCAGCCTAGCAATTTAGTGAGAACTTGTCTCCAAAAATGAAAAGGGCCAGGGATGGAGTTCAATACAAAGGTACTGGGTTCAACCCCCAGTACTGAAAGGAAAAAAGACAAGAAGACAAGGTTTTCAGTGCAGAGCCCAGGTTGACTGGGATCACGGCGTGACTGGATCCTTGTTGGCCTCCTCCCCAGGTGGCTGTGCATGGGTGACGCTCGGCCTGATTCTCAGAAGTAGAGCTGAGAGCAGTGACCTCCTATTATTCTGCGGCGGTCTGGGGCAGACGCTGCTGGTGTGCAGGGATTTCCACCTCCTCTGTCAGAATAACAGCTTAGGGTCTCTGTGGCCAGACATGAGTGTGTGTGCACGTGTGTGTGTGTACACGTGTGTCTGGCCTGCTCCTCACCGGGTCCTCGGTGGCCTTGGGCTGCTGTCCCCATTCCTCTGTGTCCTGTGGGGCAGGGAGAGCTGGGCTGTCTGGGAGCAGCCCCTGGTCCAGCCTGTGCTTTGTGGGGAGGCTTTTCATCTGTAGCCTCACATAAGTGGGGAAGAGCTGCACAGCATCTGTTTCTTTTAACTGAAAACCTTAATGTTGCATTTCAGGCACACACGCCGGTAACACTCCCCATAGGGATCTGCACCTCCATACCCAGGCCTCTCCCTCCCCATGTACAAAAGCTGTTTTCTTTTCTTCGTGTCCCTTTTTCCTTTTTCCCTCCTCCCTTGTTCCCCTTTCCATCTGAACGTTTTCTCCCCCCTTCCCCAGTATCTGCTACACATTTCGGTCCTTATTCCCACATTCAGTCTCTCACACCAGAGAAACAATGTGTGCGTCTGATTTATTTCACCTAGGAGTGTGGTCCCAAGGTCCATCCATTTAGCTATAAAGGTCTGAAGCTCGTCCTTCTTTGTGGCAGTCGTCTCCCTTGTATTGAGAAACCTGCATCTCCTTCATCCATTCCGTGGTTGGTGGGCCTTGGGGCTGTTTCCCAGATTTAGCTATCACAGACACACAGCATCCATTTTACATGTCCTACCCTTGTTATCCTCTCTCACATCCACGCCCAAATTTTTAACCTAGTAGGAGCCTGCTTATTCTTTAAAACCTGCCCCCACCAAACGGGCCGAGGAGGAGCAGATTTCGTCCTTTCCCTGCTGTCCCCCTTGTGGAAGTCACCTAGCGAGTCCCTCTGTCTCCAAGGTGGGCTTTGCAGTGCCTGACCACAGGTAACGCACAGCTTAGTAGAAAAACTAAGAAATGCCTCCTCGCCTCTGCAGAATGAGCTCACCCCGTGACCTTGCCTGCGCTGGCGGAGGCCTCCCACCGCGTGTCCGTGTCCGCGGTTGCTCCTGTGCCCTTCACCCGCCCCACCCAGGCTGTGCGGTGCGGCCCTGGCAGTGTGTGCGCTCTGCAGCTCTCAGCCCTCCTGGAGTTAACTTGGTCCTTGCCCCTGAGGAGGGGGTGCCGGTACCATCCCCACTTATACCAGGGAAACCAAGGCAGAGGGTCAATGTTCCTCAGGGTCCTAAGGCCCCGCCCCGGCCACAGTGGTGAGGGACACAGAGCCCGAGCCGTGAAGGGTGGGGTGGGTGTGGGCGCAGGGGTCTCAGCCTGAGGGGAGGACGCGGCCTTCCCTGGAGACCACGCAGCATGGCGTGTGCCTGTGTGTGTGTGCGCCTGTATGCACATGTGTGTGTGTGTGTGTGTGTGTGTGTGTGTGTGTGTGTGCCTGTGTGCATGCTGTTTTCCTTCTTGTCCCTGAGGGCAGGGGCCAGGGCCTGAAGTCCACCCTCCGAGAGGCAGGCCTCCGCTGGGGCTGCGGAGGTAACAAGCGGGACCTCTCAGCTCCCCCCGGCAGCCACCGAAGGAAAGTCTGGGCTGCTTCCCCTGCCTTCCGAGCTTTCTTTTCCCCCTTCCTAGACTGAACTCTTAAGCATGGCCAAGCACCCTTCATCCACCACTAATGACCAGGCCCTGAATCTGTAGTCTCTAAAGTGAAAACAAGTGTGCTTTGGAGAAGGCGCCTCCGCCCTGGAGGGAGGGCAGCCCCGGAGGTCTGCGGGCTCCCTCGCCCTGCTCTGTTCGGAGTCTCCTGCTTCATGTGGGCGGATTCTGCCTTAGGATAGTAGGAAGTGGGAGACGTTCGGTTAGAGACGGCCTAGCCTGCAGAGAGGCCTTTCTTTCAAACTCTTTTCCAGGGAGAGAAAGGGCAGGGGTGGTGCTGACTGCGCCGCTGTGGTGTGAACGCCCCCAGTCGAGGGTGGGGGCCGCACCGTTTCCTCTTTCCGCCCCTTCCCCTCTCCCATGACCGAGGGCTCCCTCCCGTCCTGTGAACCACACTCCCTCTGCCCGCAGCCCAGCTGCAGATGCACGCCTACTGTGACAACCCAGACGTCGTGCTGTGTGGGAACAAGAGCGACCTGGAGGACCAGCGCGTGGTGAAGGAGGAGGAGGCCCGGGCCCTGGCCGAGAAATATGGGTGAGTGCTTGGAATCGGAGCCGAGAAGCCGGTGGGTGGATGTTAGCACACGGTGACAAGAGGAGAGGAGAGAGCGAAGAATCAGAGCGACAGGCCCAGCTGTGGGCGGGGGTGCCGAGGACCTGCTCTTTATGCGGTATCACGTGGCAGCAGGAGCCGTGCGCGTGTGCGTGTGCAGCGTGTGCCCTGTGCGCGTCCCCAGGGTGCGCTCCCGGCCGCCCTCCTGGGCTCTGCAGTTGCTGGATCGGTGCAGCGCGGCCGGCAGGGCTTCCTCCCGGATCGGCCGGAGGGAGCGGGCGTCTCGGGGTGCT